CCGGCGGTGGCAACAAAAGACACTCTATGCAGGGGAAACATAGCAGACGATATCAGCTATCGTGCAGACCGGGGACGAGTTCAGGAAGAACCATCGCTTCTTCCCAGATAACAGGCAGTTTACATTCCACTCTTTGTCATAGTGGAACTGGGACCGTGTGTAGCCACTTGCAATCCACAGGTTCGCCTCGAAGACATGGGTCATCCACTCGAAGCCAGCTTCATGCGGATACTCGTGTTTTGTCTCTTTGTATGGCGGACCAGCCTCCCGGTCTAGCTGCTTCCGTCTGGATCCACAAAGCAGTACCGATGGATGTGCCACTTCCCAGGCCATTGCCTGCGGTATAATCGAAACCACATACATGTTCTTGCCTTCCTGCAGGGTCAGGACACCTACAAGACTGCCGGAAACGTGCACAAACCAAGCGGGCAACAACCCCTTCCTCGAGGCGCAAGTACTCTGAGACGTTCAATCGATGCGATGGCGCCAGACGGTCCAGGGCCTCGTAGGCAGTGTCGTTGCCACGAGCCTCAACCTGAAACACAGCGGCGACTATGTTTGCAAGTGCAGAAGGACAGCAACGAAATCACGAGAACAGTCTGATCAAAGGTGCGCTGCCTTGGGCTCCAACTTGGCATCAACCCAGCCAAACTTCTCCCTCAGAACCTCTTTGGTCCAGTTCATTGCTGGCCAGCCATGCTGAGCGCCTTTCAGGTTGGCTGGTAGATAGCCGTCCATGTGCTTCCGCCAAAAGTCACGCGGATGCGGATATGGCTTCGTGTAGACTAAGCCCTCGCTTGACAAAGGAGGCTTCCAGGAGCCAAGAGGTTGCAAATGTCCCTTTGGAGGGTCCTTTATCTCAGACAAGTTCATGCTTCGTGCCGGCTTGCGCTGCTGATGCCAGGAGTGCGCTTCATGGATATCCATGATGCCGTTAGAGTTCTTGTCGAAATAGTGGAAGTGGTCGATCGGTAGCCCTGCCGCCTTCCAGTCTTCTATCGTGACTTTGCCATCTCGGTTTCCAAGGAAGTCCAGCTGGTTGTGGGGACCATTATAATCGGGTGATTGATGTCCCCACCATACGTCCAGAGCATCTATCAGGGCGTAGCCAGTTAATCCCTTCTGCTTAGCCTTCTTGTATCTAGCCTCAAAGCTTCTCGCCCAAGCATTTCCGACCAGCAGAAGTACAAGCACATGGGAAACGCCAGCCATCTGCTGCGTTGTATGACGGAAGGTGTGAGGTATCCTGGAATATTTTGCAAGGCTTTGCAACTGGAATCAAGATTCATGAGCGCGGTTCGGGGGGAAAACAGCCAAGGCCTCTTCGCCAGCCGCCACTACTGTATATTGGCAACTAGCGCTTACTTAGAGAAGCTTCGTGTTAGTCGAGTGATACTTCGATGTCTGCTGCGGCTACGAACATGCTAGCACCATGCCCGCCACGGACAGCAGGAAATGCAAAAGGCCGGAGGTACATCAGCTGACAAAAACACGATCCAGCAAGAACGGCCAGTTGGAATCTTTGGCGTGTGAAAGCGACTGGGCCTTTCCATCACGAATCTCCTGGGGCGAGAGAAAGGCTTTTGCAAACGAAGACGGAGAGAAACAAATGGCGAGTCATCTCGCGCCTGCCCCTCCTGACGTCGCTGACTGCGGCTGCCTGAAGGGCTGTCATGCAACCAGGAGCATGGACTCCGGACAGCAGTGACAGCAGCATTTCATCTGTAACTCCAAGACCCGCACGCGAGGCATGCAAGTGCCTTGCCTGCCATTCGCGAGCCTTCAGGTGATGTTAAAATCAGCCACATGACTTGCACATGAGGTTTCTCCGGGCACCCCTCCGTCAAACATGGGATCTGCAGGGCCTCGCCCTACTCTTCAGACTCTCTCTCTTTCACCCCTCGTCCCGGGCTCCCTCATCCCCTCCGGGGGCATTTTCTCTCTGAGTCGAAGGCGAAGTCCGCGTCCTCGGGGACCGTGAAGACGGGCGCCTCCTCACACTGTCCGGTGTCGAAACGTGACACAAAAGAGACGCAGACGCAGAGAAAAGGTAGTGGCGTTTTTGGAGGGGAGGGAGATCCTAAAATAAGGGAACCCTTATACGTGAAATCCTAATCATGAGAAAAATAACCAGGCGCCTTCTTGCCAGTGGCTTGCCAGGAGGCATCCCAACGCCTGAGGTGCTCAGAGCTGACACAACTGGCTCTGCGATGCTTCCATCACTCCTGGACCGAGATCCGCTTGCTTCTCCCCTCGCCATGGTCGAGATTTCTTGCCTACGCAAGACTGCTCTTCCACCCGAAACCGGTCCATCGCCGAAGACTGCAAGCACCGAGACCGCCACAGAGTAAAGGCAGACTTCCTGCGCCTGGAATGATGTCGTCCCTGTCATTGCGCTGCTGTTGGACAAACCCAAACTGCACAAGGCGAAACCCGGCTTCCATGCCTCCCTATGCCGACCATCAACTTCTGCAGATCTTCGTGACCTGGATTTCGCTGGCCGTCAGGCCAGGCAGTATCTGTGCAAGAACGTGCGGGCAACAAGTTTGAGAGAAGTGATCCAAACCTGTGGCTACTGCCGCAGATGGAAACCACCAGGACATCATGTCTCGTTCGTAGCAGAAGAACTGTGAGATCTGTGAGACTCCTACTTTTCTTTATGTGGGCTACAGTATTACCTCACCCAGGCATGCTAAGACGAAGCTTGCTTTCGCTGCTCGATCGCAATTGTGCACTACTCGATTTCTTCTCATACAGCAAGGAGTTGCGCCGCATCATGTGGACTCTGAGTGAAAATTCAGGAGCACGCCGATGGCGGCGGGATGAGCCATGCATCCGAGAGAATGCCTGTCCAAATGCAAGAACACTTCCAAAGAACCATCCGTTCATGCATTACTGGGTGTCAGACTCCATTCGTCATGGAAGCATGACCTGCAAAGAAATCACGGCATGCCAACCCCACTACTAAGCCCCCCTTGCCCACTCAAGCGGAAAGAGAATTTGGGATTGCAACCCCTGTGTCGTACCAAAACGAAACCTTTACAGGATGCTATTAGTCTAAGTTGATCTGTTTCGATATAAAACTCGCGATCAATATCTAGAAAAGGTCTTCGTCATCCAGCATGCCAACCACCCACCCTCCCACCAACCGATGTGCATTCTAGCCAGACCTGTGCGGATGTGTCTAGATCTCTTGGTTACACATGTGCCCATGTAGCCCATGACACCGCGCACTCGGATGCCTCCGGCACCTATATAATGGCATCATTTTTGCGAATATCCCCCAGTTGCGATGCGGTGCAATCTGATGGCATGTGATCCGTTGCAAGCATCCACTAAATCCTGCTGGAGGATTGTCGTACATCAAAGAAGGTTTTCACGATACTCATCTTGCGAAGATGTAACCACCAACACTTACGGGCAGAATCTTGCTCTGCTCCGGTGCCTTGGTCAAAGTTTTGGCGCGAGTACGGGTCGAAAGTGCCACCAGGATGACGGTCTTGTCGCTCGACTCGATCGTGCCGGCGTTCTCGGTCATGACGCCGCTCGTCCCTTTCGGAGCGGGATTGACCTCATGTGAGTGCCCCTGTGCCCCCGCCATAGCAGAAATCGCATCGAATGGCCAGGATCCCCCACGTTTGCTGGAGCCTGGCCGATACAGAGCGGAGTTCTGTAGCTGCTCACGTAGTTCTGCCTCGAAACGTGTCACCAGAACATGCTGACATGCTAAAGCGACCACATGGTTCAAGGGCTGAGGCAAGTCGATGTGCCAAATGGGTCCCTCCTCCTTCTCCAGGCCTTGCCACAACGTCTCTTCTCTGTGACATCAGCGTCATCAGTAGTAGTGTTGATTTTCTTAAATAGTACTTATGTTGCCTTCCCTTGAACCAACGCGCCACACCCACTTGCTGCTGCTTGTAAGAAGGGAGTCTCAACTGAAGTGCCAGACTTGGGAAGCTTTACCGAAAGGTTGACAGGAGACGCCTTCGCAAACTCTTCCTGTGAAGTTGGGAGGCAGTCGGCTCCGTCTGCTCGCGCGATTGCAGCTCGTGGCGAAACAAGACTTCCGGGTTCTTGTGACGGCCAGGACCCGGTGGGCATGACGAGAATCTAGAATTCTAGATTCCATTGCAACAAGCACATGATTCCGACCGGTGCTATCAGCATGCTGAGTCTGGACAAGCTGGAGCCTCGTCGTCATCACTTGGCCAAGGGATGGCTCCCCCTGCTGGGAGGATGCACGCATTACCTTGGACGAAACGAAACTCACAGAGATGTTGAACGAAATTCAGGCCCAGACTTCCCCACGCCGACAAACTTGTCATGCAGGAAACTTCACGTGCTGCATTCTAGTTCCTAGTGTTGAGACGGAAGAATGGAACGAGCTCCTCCCCCATCGGAAACTTGCTGCTTAACTGCGAGGATACTGCGAGGATACTGCGAGTACTGTGACGGCTGCATGGTTCGATGATGCTATCGGGCCAAAGCGGCTGAAGACGTGACGGACGCACACAAAACAGAATGACACGGAAATGCAAGTGAAGGCCCATTGGAATAATGGCAGCACACATTCATGCGTTTGCATGGTATGCTGGTGGAAATACAAGTGATGATGGGAATCAAGTCGGAGGGTGAAGGAGCTTGCTGGCGTGAGTGTGATCTCCCACCTCTCAGAATCTCCAGCTGCCCCTTGTTGTAGGCACTTTGCCTCCAAGCATAACTTGGAGGAGTGCTGGCATTTACGAAAGCAGTTGGCACGGACCTGCATTCAGAGACATGTGCTGGAAAGGCACCCCAGTGCCTGCACGCCGCACACTCAGCTCACGTCTGGAGAATCGATACACTGTTGATGCCGGCGCAATGTGAGGCACTGCCCTCCCGTTTTCGCCGACTGGCACTCGCCCTCTGCCCAACCAGCTTTCGGCAGCGCTTTGTCCGCACGTTACCTTGCATGCTTGTGGGGTGCTGTGCCCGTCTTGAGCCAAGCCGGGTCAAGCCTGTCAGTCAAGCTTTCGTGGCGGCGGCGTTCGGGTGCGTGCAGCAGATCCCAATAAGTGGAGCACCTTGCAAACTCAATCGCGAACACTACTGGTACGAAGGCTAAAGCCATGCAGGCAGCTTAGCACCCGCCTTCTGCTCCTCCGATCTCAGCGTCGTGGCTGCTTCGCTACCCTGAAAGGCTACCTGCAAGGTCACCCGCCAAAGTCAATGTCAAAGCTGGAGGCTTCAATGAATCATCCCACCTCCTTGTACAACGTTGTCTCCAAGACCTGGATGCGTACCGGACCTCCCTGGCCTACTACCCTGGCTCATCTCAAGCAACGGCTGCTCTCATCAGCAACGCCCTATCATTGGTTCGTCGAGCTTTGAGATGACTTACCAGTTCTACAGACTGTACGAACCGACTGGTAGCCTGCGAGAATCCCCACGGATGTAATGTATCGGCCATCGAAACATCAACCACGGGTGCCTATGAATCTATGACTCTGTCGACAGGTTCGATAGAGAGATTCACTGTGAAACTCAATGCCGAGTTCACGAGCATAGTTGATCAGAGTTATTCTGTGTTCTGCCGCAAACAGCGGCACCATGCGACACCCTTGCCTCAACAGCCGCGTGGGGAGCTGCATCACCCGTGACCTGTGGTGCATCTGGCAAGACCTGAGTGAAGAATGCGCCACTACGAGACGAATGCAGAAAACTCATCATTTCGTTTTGGCAGAATCTTTCACACGCACACGGTGGGGTGCTTGGTGGCCGACATCCTCCACTTCCGTGCCGACAAGTCGGTCAAAGTATGTCAAGAACGGCGCGTAGTTGCCCCAAACAACTGCATGGTGCAAATGATGGTGCCTCCCCAGGTAACCGGAACATTTCTGAGTCACTCGAAACACAGTGATGACAATAGTAAGTTCGTTCCAAGCTACATGCTGCCACCGAAGTTGCCGAATGTCAACAAGTTCATCAAATAGCCGAGCGGAGTTTGTCGCCAACCAGTATGGGCCTGGCAGTTCGAGCAGGCAGGAGAGGACTCTGAAACACCTCCCCGGCATTCCGTCCTCAAGGCTCATCTGGGTGAACAAGATATACCACACCTTGCAGCACTGAACCCGTTGCAAGACATCACTGATCCCTTCGAACTCCAAGCCCAGCACCCAAGAAGTCAGCGGATGTGCGCCGCAAGCGGCTGGAGCAAACACCCCGAAGGTGAAGACGGAGAGGAATTCCATGAATTGGACATGAGGGCCAACCTTGCAGGACTCTAAGGGCTCTAGGAGGGCATTTCCGACCCTGCAGCTTCGGCACACTCAGGCTCCCCTGCCGCAGAGTTGCTGTAACAAACGTCTCCTTGTACTCGTGATGTAGGGAGTGGATGTGTTTCCAGAGGCTTCGGTGCCGATGCATTTGCCAGTGAAGGTAGCCGTACGCAATGTCAGTGATTACCAGGCAGAAGGCAACGTGCACCTTCAGCCCGGTTGACGCGAAGATGTACAACAGCAGCAAGTTGCGAGCATTACCATCAATGAGTGCTCTGTTCGGCAGCACACTGCCGAGTTCTGTTTTGCGAGCTTCCGGCCCAAAAAATCTCGCTGCTTGCTACCGTGACCAGTCTGACTCTTCTTTCAATTCGCGGTGTGCTTGCTGATCTTAGCATATATTAGCCACGTTTGCTGTTTGAGAATCTCTGTTCTGACTTTTTTGTCTAGTCTAGGCCATTGTTCGCGCCATCCTTGCTCTCCTTGCCCCGATGCCACCGCTGAGTCCAGCACGACCAGTTCGAGCACAGAAGGGGCTCGCTCCGGCAACTCTAGGTGACAGGCGTCGAGACATGTGGCCTTGGTTTAGGGGTTTAGGGTTT